ATTTAGTTCCAGTTTCTAAGATTCAGAGGGTTGGTTTCAATGATGTGTGCTTATGGGCTTTCTCAGGTGTCTGGGATGCTGTGCCAGGTAACTTGATGCTGGCGTAGGAGCAGCACTTGGGGCTGGAGCTCAAAATTGCAAAGCTTGCTTTGCTAGTAAGTTATGAACATTCAACTTTGTAATATCCAAGCTTGCTACAATTGTGGATCATTACATAGTTGTGAAATTTATATATATCCAATTGTAGTCTGCATTCCTATTCTACATAAACTTCTATACAAACTCAACTAATATATATATATATATATATAGAGATAAGCTTTAAATCTACAATCAAATTGACTGAAAATGCCTTGCCTCCGCCATCTTTTGAGAGCCATGCGACATAGTAAACAATCTAATGGAGATTTAGATGCCTCTGAAACTATGATTAATTATGATACACATATTATAGCTGTTAAAAATAATCATGATAATAATTCTATACACCAAAATATTAATCATGATAATGATTACATATGCCAATCAGTTAGATAGTCAGAAGCATCTGGAACCTTATATGCACGTCATTATGATGATCACATATATCAAGCAATATTAAATCCACCACACCCACCCATGAATACCACACTAGCAAGCCATAGCATTTATAATGACTTTAACATTATAGATTTTAATATTGGTAGTTTATCATTTGTTTGTACTTTTTGTAATGCATTGCATTTTAAAGATGAAAACTCTTCAATGTGTTGCCAGAATAACCAAGTTGTATTACCTCCAATTTCACCTTTACCATTTTGTTTACTTTCACTTTACAAGCAACATAAAAACTCTAACTTTAGAACAAATATTAGACATTACAATAGTGCTCTTGTTTTTGCATCTATGTCTTCTAATATTGATATTGTAAAAGGTCATGGTCCTTATTGCTTTAAAATCCATGGTCAAATATATCATAATATTGTATCAGCACATCCTTCTGAAGGTCAATATCGAACTTATGGACAACTTTATATACTTGATACTGTAGAAGCTACAGATATAAGAAAGCAAAACCCTTTTAATTCAAGCTGTGAAACAAACTTACTTAAATATCTTGATGCTTTGCTTTGTCATGTTAACCTATATGCTCAAGCTTTCAAAATGATGTATGAAATGGAACAAGAAGAAATTCATTCTACTACACTTTCAGGTTATCCTATACGTGGTGTTTACATGTTATTAAAAACTGAAGGAACTAATCCACAACACTATAATGTTCCATGGATAAATGATGTTGTTGTTGTGTTTGTTAATGATGATGGAGAACCGCCACATTGTCGTGAAATTTGTATATATCCAACTGTAAGCAATTCTAAATGTATCTCAACATTTGATTATAATTGTGATCCAATGGTTTACCCATTAATATTTCCTTTTGGTGATAAAGGCTGGCACAAAAATAATTTTAATTCCGGACGTCAAATTACATTACTCCAATATTATGCATACTGTTTATCTATAAGAGACTCAATACACTTTGGTTTTGATCAAATTTTACATGCAGGAAAACTCACACAACAATATATAGTTGATGCATATGTAAAAGTTGAAAGCAATAATTTGAATTACTATCGCACTCATCAGAAACAATTACGAGTTGAAATGTATATTAGTCTTATGGATTATGTTGCAAACCGTGCTACTAATGAAAATATAAATCCAGGCAAGATTGTTATTTTACCTTTAAGTTTTGGGGGTGGCCCTAGAGCAATGCAACAAAATTATCAAGATAGTTACTCATTTTTCAAAGACAGATCTTTTCATTACTTTTACATACAATCCCAAATGGCCAGAAATTTCTAAAAATTTACATCAAATAAAGGCCCTGAGGATCGTCCAGACTTGGTTTTTAGAGTATTTCATATCAAGCTTAAAGAATTTTTGAATGATATTACTAAAAAAACATATTTTTGGAAATTGTATTGCTTTTATATATGTAATTGAATTTTAAAAGAAAGGCCTTCCACATTGTCACTTTCTAAAGATTTTATCTCATGAAAACAAGATTAAACACTGTAATGCTATTGATCAATACATAATGGCATAATTGCTTGATCCTCAAGATGAATTTGAAATTTCTAAGATAGTTACATCTTATATGATACATGGTTCATGTGGACCTTTTTACCCTAATAGTCCTTGCATGGAAAATGGCACTTGCTCAAAAGGTTATCCAAAAAAATTTAATTATGAAACTAGGATATCCAGATTATTATAGACTTGATAATAGCCGCACATTTCTAAAAAATGGGTGCTATATTGATAATCACTGGGTAGTGCCTTATAATAAATACCTTTGTAAAAAATATAATGCTCATATTAATATTGAAATTTGTTCTACTATAAAAAGTATTAAGTATTTATTTCAATATGTCTATAAAGGTTATGATTGTGCAACAATTAAAATCCATTCAGCAACCCAATAACCTGATGAAATCTCAACTTTTTTATATACACATTATGTATCTGCTCCAGAGGCAATATGGAGACTTTTTAAATTTAAAATGCATGGTCGTTCAACCCCTATAATCTGTCTTCCTATCCATCTTCCAAATTTTCAAAACATTTATTTTATAGAAGGTTCTGAAAAAATAGCATTTCAAAGAGCCACTCAAAATGGTACAATGTTAACAAAATAGTTTGAATTAAATATAAATGACCCAAATGCTAAACAATATACATATCTTGAGATCCCTTTATATTATACATTTAACCCTCATACTCATAATTGGCAAATTTGACATACAAGAAATGTCATTCCCCAAATGTATTCTGTGTCGCCATTTAATGTTGAATTATATTATTTACATTTTATTTTACTCCATAAAATAGGTGTTATGTCTTTCAAAGATTTTAAGACAATTAATAATATATATTATAACACATTTCAACAAGTTGCAAATGCAATGGGGCTTATAGCTAATGATATCGAATGGGAAAACTATTTAGAAGATGCCTGCTTTTTTAGAATACCATCACAATTAAGATAATTATTTGTATTACTTTATATCTTTTGCACTCCAAAAGATCGTTACTTCTTATGAGATAAATTTAAGGACTTCCTTTCTGAGGATTTCATGCAAACAAATTCAATTTGTCATTATGAACATACTTTACATAATATAAATATAAAAATGAAAATGCATGGCAAAACTAATCAAAACTACCATCTACCTTTCCCGTCTGAAAATTTTGATGATGAAACTATTGTCAACTCAACACAAATATATCAAAATGTTGAAAAAAATATTCCTCAATTTAATCAAGAACAGTTAAATATTTTTAATGATATTCTTAATGTTATTGATCACCCAATTAAACAAAATTGATACATTTTTATTAATGGCCCTGGTGGTACTGGTAAAACATTTCTTCTTAACACTCTTATAAATATTTTATAGCTGAAAAAAATAAATGTTGTTAGCATAGTTTGGATAGGAATTGCAAGTACTTTACTCTATAATGGCCAAATGTCACACACAACTTTTAAACTTTTTGTTCCAATAAATGAAACATCAACTTCTGCTATAACTGCTAATAGTGAAACAGATATAAGAATCAAAACTACTAACGTATTGTTATGGGATGAAATAAGTATGGTTCACACTCATGCATTCACTACTATTAATTGAGTGTTGCGAAAGCTAAAAAATACATCATTACCTTTTAGTGGCATAATTGTTATCACTAGTGGGGACTTTAAACAAACACTTCCAGTCATTCCACGTGGACATAGAGCATAAATTATTTCAAGTTTTGTAAGAATGAATAAATTATGGAGATTATTTAGAAAATTATCTTTGAAAACAAATATGCAGCTTGCTGAAAGTGATAAATCATGGGCTTAATGGCTTCTCAAAGTTGGAAATGGTGAAAACTTTCAAAATTTACCATCTTTACCTTTTAACTCCATTTTATTACCTCATACACAACTAATTTATTCATTTATTATTGATTTTGTCTACCCTTCAGTACTTGATATTTCAAACTCTTATATTGCAGCCAATCAAGTTATACTTACCCCACTTAACGATGACACATTTGTAATCAACAATACTATTGTCTCTAGATTACAAGGTGATACATATATATCTACAAAAGCATTGATTTTGTTGACACTGAACATCTTGAAAATTTTCCAATAGAATTCCTAAATTTTATCACACCTTCTAGTCTCTCACCACATAAACTCTTTCTCAAACAAAGTGTTGTTTTTATCCTCCTAAGGAATATGTTTCCATCAGCAGGACTATGCAATGGCACATGTCTCATCCTAAAAAATGCACTACCAAATGTTTTAGATTGTGAAATTGTGATGGGGCAATTTAAAGGGACAAGAATTTTTATCCCACGTATCACACTAATACCATCAAATGCAGACATTCCGTTTAAAATGTTCAAAAAACAATTTCCAATTCGTTTAGGCTACTACTTAACAATCTCCAAATGCCAAAGACAAACATTTGACCGAGTTGGAGTTTACTTGCCCCACCCAATTTTCACTCATGGGCAACTTTATGTGGCTTTATCAAGATGCACATCACCACATGGACTTAGAATTAAAGTTCAAAACACCACACACCAAAGCCACTTCCTTCCTCAAGATCTTTTTGTTTTTACAATTCTTATAAAGAGGTTTTATATTAAACCTCTTTGTAAACCACCCAGCATTTGCTAAGCAAGTATTCCTTCTCTAGATATTAGTGCTATGTTAGATTTCCAAAACAAAACAAGCTATAGCACTTATAATGACTTTAACATTATAAATTGTAATGATAAACCTCAATAATAGAAACTTCTTTGCAAACCACCTAGCATTTGCTGGGCAAGTACTCGGTAAAGCATATCCATTATATTAACTTCTTCAATGATGTGCAAAGGGCTTAGGACAAACATGTGTTTGTTTCATACGTGAATTGTCTAATGACACGTGTCACTTTGGCTTATATGAAAACGAAATGGTTCAGTGAATCTGGTCTTATCGATGGCTGAAGTTCTTCCGGTCTTTGTTCTTCCTTCCGAACATCGCCCAGGCCAAGTAAATTCCACGGATGGAATTCCAGTGATTGATCTCAAAGGATGGCACTGGGAGGCTGCGGAATCGCCCCAGGATCGCAGCTACAGGGAGAGCATTGTGCGGCAAATCGGAGACGCTGCACAGGAATGGGGATTTTTCCAGATTGTCAATCACGGGGTCTCGCAGCGTGTGCTGGACGAGGTGGAGTCGTCGGCCAGGGAGTTTTTCGACCTGGATCTCGAGGAGAAGCGCAAGGTGACGAGAACTGCGGATAACGCCATGGGATACTTCGACATGGAGCTCACCAAGAATGTCCGCGACTGGAAGGAGGTCTACGACTACTTGGCCTGCGAGAGAGCCGAAATCGATCCAAAGCAAGTTTTTACGAACAAATGGCCTTCAAATCCTCCGGAATTCAGGTATTTCTCCCTAGAGGTTCTCTATCATCCAGGAATCTGTTTATGCGATTTTGACAGGGATGCTTGCAAGAATTACTCGGCGGCTATGGAGGCGCTAGCTTTCAAGGTCCTGGAGCTCGTCGTTGAGAGCCTCGGAGCTCCCGCCAAGGCCTTGAACGAACACTTCGTGGGAGGATCCACTCGAGTTCGCCTCAATTTCTACCGAAAGTGCCCGTCCCCCGACCTTGTTCTTGGAGTGAGCAGGCACAAAGATGGCTGCGCCCTCACGCTGCTAGCCCAGGACGAGGTTGGGGGGCTCCAAGTGAAATCCAAAAGGAACGATCAGTGGGTCCAAGTGAAAGCTCGCCGGGACGCATTTGCAGTGAACATTGGAGACCTCATCCAGGTAAATTTTCCTTTCTATCACCCCCATCTCTTCCAGAGTTTACCTTTCACAGGTTTGGAGCAACGGCAAGTACCAAAGCATCGAGCATCGTGTGGTGGTCAACTCCACCAGAGACCGCTTCTCTTGCCCGGTCTTCTTTAGTCCAACCTATGCGACCAACGCTGCCCCATTGCCCGACCTGGTCAACGAGAATCATCCAGCTAAGTACAAGCCGGTCAACTGGGCAGAATACTACAAGATGAGGAGGGATGGCAATTTCAAGAACTTGGGCAAGCCAAACGTCCAGATAGATAACTGGGCCATTGACCATTGACCATATAGTCATTGGCCATTACAATAAAAACTATACCGTACTAGAAGTTGACTATCGTTGAATGGAGGAGACCGCTGAACATGCAAAGAGGGGCTTGTCTACAGTAGCGTCACCTCAGGTGAAAACGTTCTTTTCACCCGGCTTAGGACGCTTTTTCATCGATGGTAGGGAATCTTGGTAAGTCCGTTGGAACATGCACAAGACAGCTCGATTCAGTGGCCCAGAAGCAGCAGGAGGCGGGAGCCCTTTGCAAGTGTGAAGTACCAAAACCCACGCCCAAATAAAAAGACCTAGAGCAGCCACATTTTCCCTCGGAGTGGAGAGCTCTCCCAGGGCGCGTGTTCTAGAGCGTCGTGGTGATCGTCTCGTATAGAATCCCTTCTTCTTTCTCTCTTCCACCATGATGATCCAGATGATGTCGGTCGCCGAGCAATCCATCCCGACGCTCTCGCTCCGGCGAAGCTGGCTAGGTCAATCGATTGTGGAGTTTCTTCTTGCTTGTAATTCTCACGGTGTGATTGATCCATCCATGGCTGCCAGGGCCCTTCCAGGACATCGTGGAGGAGGACGGGAGCTTCAAATATTACGCCGATGGCGAGTGGCAGACCTCCTCGTCGCGGCGATCGGTCACAATCTCCAATCCCGCGACGCGGGAAGCGCAGTACAAGGTCCAGGGTGAGTGAGATTTCCAGCCGCGATCGATCGATCGATCGATCGACGCGGCGCGGGCTACATTCTCGTGATTTCTCTTCTTTCTCGCAGCATGCACGCAGGAGGAAGTGAATCGCGCCATTGACAGCGCCAAGGTCGCGCAGCGCGTGTGGGCCAAGACTCCCCTCTGGAAGCGGGCCGAGAAGCTCCACAAGGCGGCGTCGCTGCTCAAGGAGCTCAAGAACCCGATCGCCGAGTGCCTGATCAAGGAGATCGCCAAGCCGGCCAAGGATGCAATGTCGGAGGTATCGCGATCTCGATCATGCATGGCATCTCTCCCCCTCTCTATCTCTTCCCTCTAGTTCTCGAAAATTTCCAGGGTTCTCATCTCAAGATCGATATTTCGATGCGCAGGTCGTCCGCTCCGGCGATCTCATCTCCTACACGGCGGAGGAAGGGATCAGGGTTTTGGCAGAGGGCAAGTTCCTCGTCTCGGACAGCTTCACCGGCAATGACAGGAACAAGCTTTGCCTCGCCTCTAAGGTATCGAGCGATCGATCCACACCGCGGTTTCTCACCGATCTTTGATCCATGCAGATCCCACTGGGTGTCATCTTGGCGATCCCTCCCTTCAACTATCCCGTCAATCTGGCCGTCTCCAAGATCGCGCCCGCGCTCATCGCTGGCAACGCCGTGGTGGTCAAGCCTCCCACGCAAGGCGCCGTCGCCGGCCTCCATGCCATCCACTGCTTCCACCTTGCTGGATTCCCAAAGGGTTTGATCAGCTGCATCACGGGCAAGGGGTCGGAGATTGGGGATTTCCTGACCATGCACTCCGGAGTGAATTGCATCAGGTAAGGATATGTTCTTCTTGATCGTCACCGCGGTGTCACTGATCTTCTCTTTTTCTTGCGCAGTTTTACCGGTGGAGACACTGGCATTGCGATCTCCAAGAAGGCTGGGATGATTCCTCTCCAAATGGAGCTGGGAGGGAAGGATGCGTGCATCGTCTTGGAGGACGCTGATATCGATCTCGCTGCTACCAACATCGTCAAAGGAGGCTTCTCATACAGGCAAGTCCTGGAGTTTCTTTGGATCGAACCTACCATACTCTCGTGTTGTGCAGTGGGCAGCGCTGCACGGCCGTGAAGCTCGTCCTGGTTATGGACTCCGTGGCGGACGAGCTGGTTGCCAAAGTGAACGCCAGGATCGCCAAGCTCACGGTGGGATCACCAGAGGACAACAGCGACATCACGGCAGTGGTGAGCGAGGCGTCCGCCAACTTCATCGAGGATCTCGTCGAGGACGCACGCGAGAAGGGAGCGAGCTTCTGCCAGGATTACAAGCGCAAGGGAAATCTCATCTGGCCGCTCCTGGTCGACCGCGTGACACCCGATATGCGTCTGGCCTGGGAGGAACCATTCGGTCCAGTGATCCCGGTGATCCGGATCAAGTCCGTCGAGGAAGCCATCCACCACTGCAACTCAAGCAACCTCGGCCTCCAGGTAAACCAAAGCTCCAGCATCGATTCTATCAGCGGACAAAGTTCCTCAAAAAGTTCTCACGCTGTTTTCGTTGTTTCTCCAGGGATGTGTCTTCACTCGCGACATCAACAAGGCTATGATTGTGAGTGATGCAATGGAGACCGGGACCGTGCAAATCAACTCCGCCCCAGCTCGGGGGCCCGATCACTTCCCCTTCCAGGTACCACAATCATCGAATTCTATGATCTCTTGGTTCTTATTTTAATGGTTTCGCTACAGGGTCTCAGAGATAGCGGCATTGGATCGCAAGGCGTGACGAACACCATAAACATGATGACCAAGACCAAGACAACGGTCATCAATCTCCCGGGGCCGTCCTATTCCATGGGATGAAAATTTATTTCCTTTGTGATAATGATGAAGTAACGAATAGTTCTCCCCTTTTGAAGGGGAGGGTATAAACCCTAAAAGCAAGCTACTCGCCCGTTCATTTTGAAAATAATAAGAAAGCTCTGGGAAATGCCCATACGTTTGCAAGCTTTGGAGTTACAAGACCATGGAAAATCACAGCAGCGCTTCTTGCTTTTTCAGCTGGAATACCTGCTTTAGAACGTTCTCCACGACCTGGAAACTGGAAATTCAAGCGATCAGAGTTTAGAGATTCTCACTCATACCTTGTCGGGTGTGGAAGCGCCTGATGTGATACCGATTGTCACGGGTCCAGTTGGGAACCAGTTCTCCTTCTCAACAAGCTCTCCATGCTGCAAAATCCAGAGTTTTGAAGTTCATGAGGAGCTGTGAGGAAAGCTAGAAATTCTTACGTTGAGCCTGTAAGCGATTTTGTTTCCGGGACCAATCCGCTCTTCAGTGTCGATCCAGTAAGAGGGGATGTTGTTGATCTCTCCATCTCTTGGAGGTGCGACGTGTTGCTTGAGTTCCAGCCACCGACGACGATAATGAGGTCGAGCTTCTCTTTCACCAGCGTGAACATCGCATCTTGCCGCTCCTATGCAGTGATTTACGATATCATCCGAATTGCAGGACGAAACTTTATACCTGAGTAGCGTCACAAATTGTGTTGACGCTCATGAAGTGATCGTTTGTGTTCTCCACTCCATACTTTTGCATCATCGTTCTTTGGAGTAGCTTCCCTGCAAGAAGAAGGTTTTGATCACGCGAGACACAATGGCTACAAGCTTACCAATATCTTCTGTTTCCCCTTTAAGCATCGTCGTCTGATTCGCAATCCCGACCCTGACGAGATCGTCGTCCGGATCAAAGCCTTTGGAGGTTGCGTATTTAGATTTCTACAAACAAAAAAAAGAAAACCTTGGCTTGTGAGTGAGTAGACTTTCCTTTCAGAGATTTACCTCCAACAGCTCTTCCTTAGTTCCATTGGAGCCATCGAACTTTCCACCGAGAATGTAGTCGCACACGTATGTAGCCTGTAGAGAGAAAATTAAGATCATTTGGCGATTGATGCAACAAATCTAAGGAAGCTATACAAACCTCTTTCATGTTCTTGACGATAATATATTTCCCAGCAAATGAAGCAGTCGCAACAGTCTCCTCGTGAGCATATTTTCCATGGATCACGGAAGTATAGGACGATTTCTTGTGCTTTTCCACCGAGTTCCAAACCTTTCCACAAACACTCGATTTATTCATAGCTCCAACAAGGAAGGGAAAAGAGAATGCAATACCTTTGCTACCCACGGGCATGTAGTGTCGACGATTTGAACTTTTTTTTCAGCGAGGAGCTGCATCTCTTGGACAGTAGCACCAAATGCTGGGAACACAACGACGTCTTTCTCTTTCACCACGCTAAAATCTTTGACTTTGTCCTCCACAGGGATCATCTTAATTTCCATCTCCTCCAGTTTCTAAAGCGGAAAAAGATTATATAGCATGACAATGGAGTTCTAAGTTCATACCTGGTTCACGGTTGGATTGTGAATGATTTCGTTGGTGAGCCAGATATGCTGATCGGGGAACTGTTTATCTCCCCAAGTGTACGAGTTCTCCTTGAGCGACTTAAGCATGTCACCTGACCAGAAATTGAAAACTCTTAGCCAGTGGACCGCAATAGTTGGAAATGCCATAGCAAGGATGAAAGCATTTGAAAGAAAGAAAAAAACAACATCTTTAACCAAGCATCAAATGAAAGATGGCTTGCAAAGTTCACGAAGTTTGGAATACCAAAGCAAGCATCAATCCAGCAAATCGTTGGAGCAAAGCTCGCGAAGTAAGTAGAAAAACCAGGCAAGAAAATCAAAGGAGTATGACCGCAAGAACTCATGCGAAGTGGAAAAACAAGGAATAGATCTTCTTTGCGAGGAAAGTTTCTAGGCGAGCAAAGCTTACTTGTGTTGTATTCTTGGTCCAGCCTCTCGAGCGTCTCCTTCTTGTAGCCAAATCCACTCCGGTTGTAATTGTCGCTCCTCATCAAATTCTTGCGAAAGATCTTGCGAATCAATGTGGCTGTGGCTCCACAGCCACATTGTCGCTCTTGTTCTCCGCCGCCTCGCATCGAATCCCTCTCCCTCGCCCAACACTCACGCTCACAACCCTGTCGCCACAGCCGCTGGACGAGCAGCTGGGCCGCCGCGCAAGCACTAGATTACCCGACACCACGGCTCGACTGGTCGCCATTCTCTCTGGAAATCCTCCGATTCTAGCAGAACACCATCCCTAGCTCGAGATCAATCGATCGATCCCTTCCGAAGGGATCGACGTCTAGTTGCAGCTAGACGTGCAAACGTTCCAACGTGTCTACGTTTAAACGCTGTTTAAAACGTTTTTTTCAGGACAATCTAACGTTTACATGTTAAAGCCTAAAATGATTAAGAAAACACTAATATTTACTAAAGACACTTTAATCTAATATTAAATTTATAAAACCTAACCAAATAATATACAAAAACAAATGAAAAAAGAAGCCATTTTAGTCGTCTTCTAATTCCAAATCATCTTTCATTCCTTCACCGATGCTAAACTCCTCAATTGATTTGGTTCCTCAAAAGCTTCTGTAGATCCAAAACCAGTTCTCCATGCTTGCCACCATAAATTCTGCTGCCCTCCCCCCCTGAACCCTATGTGGCTTGCTGCAACAGATGCCCATTATCGGCATCTGCTGGATCTACTTGCTCGGAATCGAAAAAACTGTTGCAAGGTTTTTTAAGAACCTCATAAGGGATCTCCCTCATTGCCTTGCACGTTTTCACACCTCTTGCCCGAACTCCAGCAAGATGTGCTCACATTCAGTCCGCTCCCCCAGTGTAAATCTCATGACAATATTTACTGCTCTGCTTGTATCACATGCTTTCAGCTCCAGCATTTGCGGCATGAAGAAACCTTTTCTTTTCGCAAATAGTGCAAACGGAGTTTAGAACGGCGTTTTTTAACACGTTTAAAACGTTATGTTTTTTAAGTTTCACACATTTTCTGGCAACTATGTGTAACCCGGTGTGGCAGTAACAAACAGTCAATTCAAACAGTGAGAGACTGATGGATGTCTCATGCGCGCGCTCGAATCGCTCCTCCAAGACCTAAATTTCGAGCAGTCCTTGAATTGAATAGAAATTTTCCCCCGAATGAGTAGCAACCCCAAGTACTAGTCTCTGCTCGCCCTCGATTAAATTAATTAATCGAATTCTAATTAAAAAGGCAGCAAGGTTTGACACAAGACTCATTCACTCGCTCGAGAAGAGATTAGAGTCTCAATCTCAAGCCAAGAGTTTGACTGAGAATGTTGCCAGCGATTGTCCTCGTTCTAACTCTTGTGTTCTTCGTCACGCAATGGATGTGGAGCAAGCGCGCCATCAAGCTCCCACCAGGCCCCAGAGCCTTGCCTCTCATCGGCCACTTCCATCTCCTGGGAAGGATCCCCCAGATCTCACTCTATCACCTCTCCAAGAAGTTTGGACCCCTCATGTACTTGCGCCTGGGATCCGTGCCACTCATTGTGATTTCCAGTCCTGCCATGGCCAGGGAGTTCCTCAAGACCCACGATGCCGCATTCGCTCGCAGGCCACCCAGAGTGGCCGTGGACATTCTTCTGTACAAGTCCAAGAGCTTATCTTATTCTGAGGGTGAGTACCACAAGAACATTAGGAGGATGTGCTCCATGGAGCTCTTCACGGCCAGGAGGGTCACCTACTTCACCAAAATCATCCGGGACGAGCTGTGGGATCTTACTGCCGAGCTCGCCAAGGCTTCCAAGGCGGATCAACCAGTGGCACTGCGAGGCAAGCTGAGATCACTGGGCTTCAATGTCATGACTCGCATCCTCATGAACAAGACTTACTTTGGATCCAAGGCTTCCACCGATGATCCCCATGCGCGGGAATTTGTGGGGGTGATTGACGAGGTGATGAATGCAACCGGGGCGTTCTCCATAGCAGATTACTTCCCCAGTGTCGGCTGGCTCGACTGGAGCATAGCCCGTTGTAGACGAGCTCACCAGAGGATGGATGCGTTCCTGGACAAAGTTCTGAACGAGCAAAGACCCGGAGAAATTCCAGACTTTGTGGAGATGACGAAGGCGCGAGTGGACGGCCCTGAACAGACCCAGTATCTCAAAGCCTTGCTAATGGTAAGTGAAAACTCTTGATTTGTTCGGGCTATCTTTGTTCTCGCATGGTGTTTTCTACTAGGATTTACTGCTTGGTGGCTCCGAGACATCGTCAACCGTGGTGGAATGGGCTATGGCCGAGCTTCTCCACAATCCCGAGTGGATGGAGAAACTCCAAGAAGAGATTGAAAGCGTGGTTGGGCGAGATCGAATGGTGGAAGAGTCGGACTTGGCGAAGCTGGAGCTTGTCAACGCTGTTATCAAGGAGACATTTCGTCTCCATCCCCCGCTGTCGCTGATGATCCCACACACCTCGCCAGAGCCTCGACTAGTTGCGGGCTTTGAGATTCCAGCAAAGGCAACCGTTCTCATCAACACGTACGCCATTGGAAGGGACTCCCAGGCTTGGCCAAACGATCCGGACAAGTTCAAGCCTGGGAGATTTGTTGGTAGCAACATCAACGTCTATGGCCATGACTTTGAGTTGCTTCCCTTTGGATCAGGAAAGCGAGGTTGTCCAGGGCTTCCTCTTGGGTTGCGGAATGTTCAGTTGGTGCTCTCAAACTTGATCCATGGGTTTGACTGGAGATTTCGGGATGGAGCTACAAGGAAGTTGTCCCTGGACAGCGGCCCTGGATATATTAATATTATTGCAGATGCTGTTGTCGCTCAAGTATCACCAAGACTTGAGCAGTGTGCTTTTGACACTCTTGCAGCTTCGTAACTCATATATTAACTTGTACGCCTATGTAACATATAAAGCTAAAATGTAGAAAAAGGGCACGGTTGGAAGTCATCGATTTCGTTTGTTACCTTTGAAGAATTCTACGAATTATTGATTAATATTTATGTCTTTGCATGGGTCCAGCAGCTCACGGAACAGGCTGTTGTTTGCTCCAAATCCATCGTGTGATCAAGAAACACAATAGTTATAACAAGGACAATAGCTCAATGTGACTCTTTATTTTTAATCACTTCTCCATGTCAGATCTTGCTGCCTTTTTAATGCCAAGAAAGCCTTAGAACAATTAAAGTGGTTCCTGCAATTGAGTGGAAAAAATTGTCCTGGCTAAAACTTTACTCTAGAAAGCTTGTAAATTTTATATAGGAGAATATACAATTGAGAGAATCAAAATTGTTTTATCCTTGAAAGCAATGGCCTTGGCATGCCTTGCACAACCATGACACTGGGTCTGCACATGGGTTAACATACTTTGGGTCAAGCATGGAAGTTTCACGTGTCTAAGAAAGATTTCTAGCAAAATTAAGCATGATTTTTAATTAGATAAAGCTAATTAACTAAGAATATGCCACGTGGCAAATTTGTGTGAAGTTAGGGTCGATACATCGAAAATTCCTGGGGCGAGAATGGAGGTCGCCATTGCCTCCTCCGTGTGTCCGGCGATCTCGCCCTGCTCCAGCTCCAAGGTATGGACCGATTGATTGCCGGCATTGCGTGCTAGCGTTGGATCGTGTTGATCTGTCACAGGAGCGCCAGCAGCAGCCGCTTCGGTCGAGCCTGGGGCCTCTCCGGCGATCGACGCTCGTGTCAGGTCAGAAAGTACGTTGAGCTTGACGAGCGAGGATGGAATTCTCTTGATTATGTTCCTTGTCGCAGATTATGGCTGATCCGCGATGGAATTTCCACCGTTCAGTGATCAAGGCAGTGAAGACCGAGGAGCATGTAGCAAGGGAGGATTTGCCTGTTGTGCGAGTCGATCCCCTGCTGGCTCCACACCAGGACCATCTTAAGTACCGATTTTCTCAGTACGAGGGGAGGAAGAAAGCCATCGAGAAGTATGAAGGTGGTCTTGAGAAGTTTTCTTTGGGTAAGCAAGCTCATCTTTTGTCTACTTTTCTTTGCTTGATCCTATTTTTTTTAAGCTTCTAGGCTTTCAGAAGTTTGGATTTAATTACGAGGATGGTTATATAGTCTACCGGGAATGGGCTCCTCCTGCACAGTAAGAAGTAAATCTTTGGTGGCTAAACTCTTTTCCTATAAACTCATGCTTTCTCATTTCAATAGAGCGGCTCAGCTTATTGGGGACTTTAACAACTGGGATGGATGGAGCCACCCGATGGAGAAGGATAAATATGGTGTGTGGTCAGTACGCATACCAGATGTTGATGGGAAGCCCGGAATTCCCCATGGATCCAGAGTTAAATTTCGGATGCAGAGGGGGGATGGCCAGTGGATCGATCGTATACCTGCGTGGATAAAGTATGCGACTGTGGAAGCTGGGAAAATGGGAGCTTCTTACGACGGAATTCTGTGGAATCCACCGGAAGATCAGAGGTATTGATTTCATTCTGTGAATCGGTCTTATGAGTTTCTTGTCCATCAGGTACAAGTTTGAGCATCCACGACCTCCCAAGCCTGTCGTTCCTCGCATATACGAAGCACACGTTGGCATGAGTTCCAAGGAGCCATGTGTAGCGTCCTACATCGACTTTGCAGACAATGTGCTTCCTCGGATCAAGTCAAACAACTACAACACGGTTCAACTGATGGCAGTGATGGAGCACTCTTACTACGCTTCCTTTGGCTACCATGTCACAAATTTCTTCGGTGTGAGCAGCCGCTCGGGAACTCCTGAAGAGTTGAAGTATTTGATCGACAGGGCTCACTCTCTGGGCTTACGGGTGCTGATGGACGTTGTGCACAGCCATGCAAGCAACAACATTAAGGATGGTTTGAACGGATTCGACTTGGGGCAACAAACGCAGGAATCATATTTCCACACAGGGGATCGAGGCTATCACAAGCTCTGGGACAGTCGGCTTTTCAACTACAACAACTGGGAGGTCGAAAGGTTTTTGCTATCGAATTTGCGGTGGTGGCTGGAAGAATACCAGTTTGACGGGTTCCGTTTTGATGGAGTCACTTCTATGCTGTACCATCATCACGGGATACACATGTCATTCTCAGGAAGATATCGAGATTACTTCAGCGAAGCCAGCGATGTGGATGCTGCTGTCTACCTTATGCTCGCCAACGAGCTCGTTCACACTCTTTATCCGGATGCAACGACAATTGCGGAAGATGTCTCGGGAATGCCAACGCTTGGTAGGCCCGTTTCTGAAGGAGGCGTGGGATTTGATTACCGCTTGGCCATGGGAATTCCAGATACCTGGATCAAGCTTCTCAAGGAAGTGGCCGATGAGCATTGGTCAATGGCTGAGATAGCATCAACGCTTTTGAACAGGAGATACACTGAAAAGGCTATCGCCTATGCAGAAAGTCATGACCAGGTAGATAATTTGGGAGCTGCTTTTGGAAAACTTGTTTACGCTTGTGTTTGCAGTCTCTGGTGGGAGACAAAACCTTAGCTTTTATGCTTATGGACAAAGAAATGTACGCAGGAATGTCCGCTTTGCAAGAGCAATCCATCATTATTGAACGAGGGATCGCACTTCATAAGGTATGAGTAGTGATTAGTGATCGTTTATATGAACATCAGTAATTGCAGATGATCCATTTTCTTACAATGGCTCTTGGAGGAGATGGTTATTTGAATTTTATGGGAAATGAGGTACGCTAGTTTGCTTGACTGGCTAATAAATTTATTTGAGCTATTTTGTAGTTCGGACATCCAGAATGGATCGACTTTCCCAGAGAGGGTAACAAGTGGAGCTATGATAAATGCCGACGGCAGTGGGATTTGGTCGACACGGACCATCTTCGATACAAGGTTTGCCGTGACTGTCATTTGCTGTGCGTGTTTTGATTCGCGGCATTCAGTTTATGAACGAATTTGACAAAGCTATGAATGCGCTGGAGGAAAAATATCACTTTCTGACGTTACCTCTAATTGTTTCGAGTACGCACGACAAAGACAAGGTGCAGCTTTCCAAATTCAATCAAAATCTCAACAATTATTTCAGGTCATTGTCTTTGAAAGAGGAGACTTAGTTTTCGTGTTCAACTTCCATCCGGAGACAACCTATGAGGGGTATGTGGCGATTCAACTTGTATGGGATCTCATTTTTTCTGCAGGTATAAGATTGGATGTGATCTTCCCGGAAAGTACAAAATTGCTTTAGACAGTGATGCATTTGACTTTGGTGGCCGCGTCCGGGTAAACTCGTCTTTCTTTTTTCTTTCTTTCATTACATGTTTCAATTCCCTGCCAGGTTGGTCATGACGTGGACCATTTCACCAGTCCCGAAGGCATCCCTGGGAGGCCCGAAACAAACTTCAACAATCGTCCAAGCTCTTTCCTTGTTCTGTCACCAGCTCGGACATGCCAGGTGAATCATTTACTCATTCGCTCACAAAGAGCTTAAAGCCTATCCTCCACCAGGTTTATTTCAAAGTTCCGAAAGACGCCGTCCAATCAGAGGAAGAGAACGAGGATGTAAGCCAGCCAGCGGCAAGCGTCTTGCAGCTTATATCCCAGTCCGCCGCACAAAAGGAGCTTCCATTCAATTTTATGGACGACATCCCTGACTTCTCACAAGACTAAAGGTACGTGATTGATCAGGCGACAACACGGTGTGTGAGCTGGTGCTCTAATCAGCAGGTTGTCAACCACGACTTTCGTTTGGTCGATCGTCCGAGCAAGGGAAGTGACAAACAGGCGGACAGCTTAGGATCCGGACAGTTTAGGATTCGGGTCTCGAACGAGTGAATGTGATGATCTCGTCATCGAAACCATACTCTTCATCCGCCTCACTGTCATCGCCTTGGCTCAAACAGTTGTCCTTCAAATCGCTCAGCTCGACCATCTCTCACGGAGACAAGCTGGTGCTTCTCACACCAGTTCGAAGAAAGCCTTCCCAGAGCGAGAATATTCGGCTTAATCAAATGTTAGCCATTGGATATAGGACCATCCAACGGATGGTATTCATTTAGGGCTCTTGGCCTAGGTTGCATGAGCACAAGGGTTTTGGTCGCTCAGCTCAAAGAGTGTGGCAAATCCAGGGACCTGCGCAAGGGGAGGATCCTCCACGCCCAGATCGCCCAATGCAGCGACGCCAGGGAGAGCATCCAAGTCTCGAACACCCTGGTGAGCATGTATTCAAAGTGTGGATCCATGGCCGAGGCGCGCCAGGCCTTCGACGCAATGCCGCGGCGCGACGTCGTCTCCTGGAACGCCCTCATCCTCGGCTACGCGCAAAACTCCCCTGGAGGAGGCCAGGCAGCGCTCGGCTGCTTCTCTCGAATGGATTGCCAGCCAAACTCCCTCACCTTCCTTGCTGCTATCAAGGCTTGCGTCTCCATGGCAGCGATCGAGCAAGGCGGCCGAGATGCTGGAGGAGCTTTGATCAAGATAACGTCACTGGAGAGAGGATTTGCGCTCCATTCTCGAGCTGCCATCGCTGGCTGTGACTTTGAGGTGATGGTAGCAAACTCTTTGGTTGATATGTATGCTAAGTGTGGGAGTTTGATGGATGCTCGCAGGGTTTTCGACACGATGCCGGAGCACACGGTGGTGTCCTGGACTGTTCTCGTTCTCGGTTACGTTGATAACGGGGAGGCCGAGATTGCGCTCGAGCTCTTCGCTTGCATACCCGATGCTTGTGGACCGATTGGAGCTCGAGCTCTGGTTGCTGGACTGAAAGCTTGTAGCAGCCTGGCCGCTCGAGAAGAAGGAAAGCTTCAAGAAGAACAAGGTGGTGGTGGTGGTGGGGGGAGAGTTTTAAAAGTGGAGACTCTGAAGAAGGCCGTGGCTCTCCACTCCCAGGCTGTGGAGTGTGGCTGCGAGATGGAAGGCTTTGTGGCGAGCTCGCTGGTGGATCTTTACTCGAGGTGTGGGGATCTGGAAGAAGCTCGCAAGATCCTGGACAGGATGAGCTACGACTGCGTGGTATCGGCGACGGCACTCATGCTGGGGTATGCCGAGCACGGACAGGGCGAGAAGGCGCTAGAGCTCTTCGCGAGGATGGGATCGAGAGACTCAAGAGCTTTTCTAGCTGCGCTCAAGGCTTGCATTTGCCTTGCAACGAAAGAAGATGGCAAGCTCGTTGGCGGAAGGATTGTCAAGCTAAAGTCGCTGGAGACGGGGATGGATATACACTTGGAAGCTGTGAGGTCTGGTCACAACGCCGATGATATCTTCGTGGCCAGCAGCTTGGTGGATATGTATGCGAAGTGTGGGAGTATGATCGATGCCAGAGGAGTTTTCGACAGGATGGCGAGTCACAGTGTAGTTTCCTGGACGGCTTTGGTTCTCGGCTACGCAGAGAACGAAGAAGGAGCTCTGGCTTTGGAGCTTCTCCCACGCGTGGAGAGTCCTAATGCCTTGACGTTCGTCGCTGGATTGAAGGCCTGCGCTGCCCTGGGGGCGAAAGAAGATGGCGATCTAATCGAAGGAAAGCTTGTCAAGCTTCTGTCCCTGGAAAAAGTTATGGCTTTGGAGCTCGAGTGTGGAGGGCTTACCTCGGACATCTTCGTGGCAAACACTCTACTCGACGTTTACGCCAAGTGTGGGAGCACGCTGGATGCTCGCAGAGTTTTCGACAGGATGGAGTTTCATACCACGGTTTCATGGACGGCCTTGGTGATGGGATACGCCGAGAATGGCGAACACGAGCTCGCTCTGGAACTCTTCTCGTGCATGCGCTCGTCCATCGCTCCAAGCGCTCTAAGCTTTGTCGCTGCGATGAGTGCTTGCTCCGGCCTGGCAGCGAAGGAGGAGGCCACCAAAGATGACGAGCAGAGTTTCAAGCTCAAGTCACTGGAACGAGCTAGAAACATCTACTGCGAGGCTGTGGAAAGTGGTTTCCAGGAGGACATCTTCGTGGCAAACTCGGCAGTGGATTTGCTCGCGAAGTGTGGGAGCCTGGTGGACGCTCGCAGGACTTTCGAGAGGATTCGTCGCCGCAACACGGTCTCGTGGAACGCTTTGATGCTGGGATACTCCGAAAACGGAGAAGGCGAGAAGTGTTTGAATCTCTTCTCTCGCATGGAGAAGGAAGGCCAAGCTCCGGATGCTCGGACTTTCTTCGCAGCGCTCAAGGGGTGTGTAGTTCTTGCATCCAAGGAAGACGAGAACCAGGCCGAAAAGAAGAAGCTCTCGCTGGAAACAGGCATGGCGATCCATCTCCAAGCCGAGAAGAGTGGCTGCTGCGACTCGGACGTTTTCGTGGCGAGCACTTTGGTGGAGATGTACGCGAAGTGTGGCAGCCTGGTTGACGCTCGCAAAGTTTTCGACAAGATCCCCGGCCTCAATCTTTCGGCATGGACCGCTCTCATCCAAGGCTACGCCGAGGGTGGCGAGGAGCTGGCGGGTCTGGAAATTTTCGCGAGCTTGCAGTCGAGGAAAGGCTACGTAGCAAGCGTCCCAGCCTTCGTCGCGGCCATCAAAGCCTGCACTGGCCTGGCGGCCAAGGAGAAGGTGGGAGCAGCAAAGATCGATGGAAGAACCGTCAAGGTGGAGTCACTGCGATCCGGCATGGCGATTCACTCCCAGGTGGAGAGAAGCGATCACAGCTCCAACACAATGGTGGCGAACACTCTGATCGACATGTACGCCAGGTGTGGAAGCCTGGTGGACGCGCGGAGAGTGTTTGACAGGGCGATGATCCACAGCGACTCGTCCTGGAACACACTGATCCTGGGCTATGCCGAGAACGCCGAGGCGGAGCTAGCTCTCGAGCTTTTCTCGTGCATGGGAAGTGGAAGCGGAGGATCTCCTCGTCCAAACTCCCGGACTTTGGTGGCGGCTCTCAAGGCTTGCAGCGCGGTGGCATCGCTGGGCATCGCGAGATCTATCCACTCGGAGCTCCTGCGGCGGGGGATCGATCGAAACGTCGTGCTGGAGAGCTCGCTGGTGGACGTCTATGGGAAATGCGGTAGCATGGCGGCGGCTCAGCGAGAGTTTGACACCATCGCTCGAGTGAAGCGCGACTTGGTCACCTGGAACGCAATTCTAGCCGGGTATGCTCGCCAGGGAGACGCCGCTAGCGTTCTTGGCTTGTTTCCGAGGTTCCGGGAAGAAGGCTTGCGTCCGGACGAGATCACGCTAGCGTCGGTTCTCACCGCGTGTAGCCGTGCGGGGCTCGTGGACAAAGGGAGGGAGATCTTCGAGAGTATGAGCTCCAGCTGTGGCGTGGCTCCCTCGCTGGAGCACTACCACTGCATGGTTGATCTTCTTGGGCGAGCGAACCGGCTGGAGGAGGCGATGGCGGTGGTGGAATCCATGCCGTTTGAGGCGAATGGAGTGACTTGGATGACGGTTCTTGCGGCGTGTGGGAAGTGGAAGAACGCTGTGGTTGGAAAGGTGGCGTTTGATTCTTTGCTGGAGCTGGGTCAAGGCGATGCTGCCACTTACGTTTCCATGGCAAACATCTATCACGACCTGATTGATCTTTAGTAATCCCTCCTCGATTCGAGCAGCGCTAGAGGTCTCTTCGTTTACCGATCTGGATTTGAGAGTCTCGTCCCTCAACGAGCAGATCAAAGTCCATGGAAGAAAGGGAAACGTATATGGAGCGCGGAGGATCTTTGATGCCATTGGAGCGTCCCGAGATTCTTATTCCTGGAACTTTATGCTCGTCGCATATACCCAGAATGGGCATCTGCGAGATGCTGAGCAGCTGTTTGAGAGAATGCCTTCCAGGAATCTTGTGGCGTGGACGGCCATGTTGGTGGCGTATGCCTCCTTTGGATATCTCGAAGAAGCGGAGCGCATGTTTCACCAGATGCCCAGCAAAGACGCGCCTGCTTGGAATTCTATGCTTTCAGCATATGCCAAGAACGGGCATCTTGAAAAGGCACGTCAGGTGTTTGATCTTATGCCCCACCGCAGTATATTGTCATGGAACTCGATTCTTTCAGCATATGCCCAAGCTGGGCACCTTGAATCAGCCAAAAGTGTTTTTGACAGGATCCCAGAACCCGACATGATATCCTACAATGCTATTCTCTCGGCATATGTGAATGGAGGAATCTTGCGGGATGCCAAGAAGATCTTTGAGGGCATGGCGCTGAGGGACATGGTCTCGTGGGCGACACTGCTCTGTGGTTATGCCCAAACCGGGCATATCTCTCAAGCGCATGAAATCTTTTTTGAAAATATGCCAGAGTGGGATTTAATTTCTTGCAGCTCAGTTTTGGTGATGTATTCCGGAGCCGGAAACATCAACGATGCTAAAACATTGTTTGAAAACCTCCCACAAACAGATCTAGTAGCCTGGAACTCTCTTCTTACGGCATATACCCAAACCGGGCATCTCGAGAAAGCTAGGCAAATATATCTTAGAATGCCAGAGCACGACTTGGTATCCTGGACGCTTATGCTGACAGTCTATCTAGAAGCAGGAAAACTTATGGAAGCAGAAGATATACTCGTAAAGATGCCACACAGAGACCTCGTAAGCTGGAACGCAATGCTGACTGGATATGCCCAATCCGGGCACCTTGAGAAAGCAAAATGCCTGTTTGACTGCATGCCTCTCAAGGATGTCATGACATGGACGGGGATGATGTCAGCATACGCTCAACACGAGTGTTTGAGCGAAGCAAAGCACCTGTTTGATGACATGCCACAACGAAACCAGGTGACGTGGACGGCGCTGCTCGTGGCATATGCCCAGAACGGGCACGTCAGCATTGCCAGCGAGCTGTTTCGGGCAATTCCGGAGCTGGATTTGGTGCTGTGGACTGCCATGCTGGCAGCACACGCCCACAACGGCCGCTACACAGAGGCATTTGAAGTGTTTGAGAGAATGAAGCCCATCTTTCCTCCCGAGGAGCTGTGCTTCAACTCTATACTCGTTGCTTGCAGCCATGCCGGGAGAGTGTATGCTGGGCGGCAGTACTTCCGATCCATGGTTGTGGATTTCGGGCTGCGGCCGACGAGGCAGCATTACTGTTGCATGGTCGATCTGCTGGGACGAGCCGGGCATCTGGACGACACGGAGGATCTCATCAAGCATATGCCGTTCGAGCCGGATGTGTTCGACTGGACGTGCCTGCTCGCAGCTTGTTTGGGTCACAAGGAGAAGAAGACCATCGCAAACGCAGCGGCCAAAGAGGTGCTTCGTTCGAATCCTCGCGGCCGAGCGGTCTACGTGTTGCTCAATAATGTGGGTGGCCACATGACAATGAAACATCAAAATACTCCATCTTGACTTTTGTGGTGTCCGCAGCTGCATTTGCGGATAGAGCACGCTATATAGAGCAGAAGAGTGTGGGGAAAAGCTCCAGGGCAAAGCCGGCATTTGATAGGATCTCGGCGGGGATCTCAGGTAATCGTAGTTGGAAATGCAAATGTTGCAGTGATTCAAAGGTTTTTCCTCTCAACCTAGTGACTACTTGATCGAGAAGGTAGGCTCCATCTTGTCCACTGATCCATCCGGCACTGCATATCAAAGTAGAGAGTGTTCGTCCACTAAATCTCTTCTTGATCTTGGAACCTTCTCAGATCATTAGATTCGATCAAGAGATGAAGCTGCAAGACAAAGTGGCGATCGTGACGGGCGGAGCCAGCGGCATCGGCGAGGCCATCGCGATCAAATTCGCAGCACACGGCGCCTTCGTCATCGTGGGCGACGTCCAGGACGAGCTCGGCCAGAAGGTCTGCGCCGCGATCGGGCCGCGAGCCACATTCGTCCACTGCGACGTGGCCGACGAGGCCGGCGTGGAGGCCCTGGTCAACACGGCGGTTGCCCGACACGGCCGCCTCGACATCATGATGAACAATGCCGGCGTCGGGGAGCCCGGCGGCCGCGACGTCCGGGATCTCGACATCCGCGCGTTTGACCGGGTCATGTCGGTCAACGTGGCGGGCGTGGCGCTGGGCATGAAGCACGCCGCGCGGCACATGGTACCGCGCGGCTCCGGCGTCATCATCAACACGGCCAGCAACGTCACGGGCGCCGCCGGCATCGCACCGCTGGCGTACACCGCCAGCAAGCACGCGGTGGTCGGGCTAACCCGGACAGCCGCCGTCCAGCTCGGGCGGTATGGGATCCGGGCAAATGCCATCTCCCCGGGCGCCATTCCCACGCCCGCGTTTGTGCGCTACTTCCGCAAGGCTGTGCCCGGGATGGACGAGAATGGGGCCAGGGCTGTGGCATCTAAGGCGACGACGCTCAGGTATGGAGAGGATTTGGAGAGTGCGCTGAGCGTGGAGGATGTTGCCAATGCGGCCGTGTTCTTGGCTAGCGAGGACTCGCGGTTCGTGAGCGGGCATGAGCTGATGCTGGATGGAGCGAGCACCGTGACGGACAAGTCGTTTGATGCGATCGGGATGATGCTTGCCACTGCTTCAAGCTAGAAAAAGAAGATGATTTGGTACTAAACCATCTATCCCACGATTTGGATTTGAAGAGGTTGCAATCAAACGCAGTGATTCCAGAGCTCTCGTGATTTATGAGCGAAAGATACCAATCGCAGTGGAAATTCAAGAGAAAACCGCGACGCACAGACACAAAGGAGGAAAAAAAGATTTGGCAGAGCACTTACAAGTCACGAGAGCTATAAGGTGGGGAAGAAGCGCTGGGGCCGTTGGATTCGCTGTATCGACGGCTGCCCAGCGATCTTTCGCTGTCGTTTCCCTGCGACATCTTCTTTTTGCTGCTTAGAAATTCCTTTGGGGCCGCCACGTCCAAAAACAAAACAGAGAGGAAAGGAAGAATTTGGTATCGATCGACTGATGGAGCTTGAGATTCATGGGAGAGTGAATCCCGCAACGAGGATTCTCTTGTTGATCATCATCCTAGCATCGCCATCGCTGTTCCTGATGGGTGATTGCTCGCCGGCGATCCAGGGATGCAACAGCGTGGAGAGCAGGCTGGTCCCGGGGCTATCGAGGGCGCGGCCGCGCGTTTTCTCCATCGCCGATTTTGGGGGAGTGAGCGATGGGATCACGCTTAATACCAAGGCGTTCCAGAAGGCGATCGATCACATTGGCAGCTTTGGCAAGCTGGGAGGCGCGACCCTCTACATCCCGCGAGGCAAATGGCTCACCGGATGCTTCAATCTCACGAGCCACATGACTCTCTTTTTGGAACAGGACGCCACAATCCTCGCCTCCGAGGTAAGAGAAGAGTTCTAGCACGGAAAAAAAAATTCCGATTTTTTTCTGGATTTCTTCGCAGGATCCTCAAGATTGGCCCGTGGTCGATCCCTTGCCATCGTATGGGCGAGGAAGAGAGCTTCCAGGGAAGAGATACACGAGCTTGCTTCATGGGCTGAGGATCACCGACGTCGCGATCACGGGTATTTATAAACGCTTAGTGATCGATTGGAAAACACTTGATTTTTCCAGGAAACAATGGCACCATCGATGGCCAAGGCCTCGTCTGGTGGAACCGATTCCGCTCCAAAACCCTCCAGCACACCCGGGGCTCCCTCGTCGAGTTTATGTTCTCCTCCAACATCCTCGTCCACAACGTTACCTTGATCAACTCGCCCTTTTGGACGCTCCATCCCGTCTACACGAGGTATTATGAGCCATCCTTGGCATTAAAAGAAGAGCTTTTCTTCTCCTCTTTTTCTTGCCCAGTGACGTGATGATCAAAGGAGTCACCATTTTGGCACCTCACAAGGCGCCCAATACGGATGGAGTCGATCCAGGTTAGATCATTCTCCCCTCTATAAAATAAGACGGAATCTAGCTTTGCTTTGGCTGATAGCTAGAGCCACTTTGACTTCTAGTCAACTTTCTAGTCAATCCCGCGCTGACCATGGGTGTATATTCCCCCGCAGACTCCAGCTCCAACGTGTGCATCCGCGACACGTACATAAGCAACGGTGACGACGCAGTGGCCGTCAAGAGCGGCTGGGACGAGTACGGCCTGGCCTTCAACCGTCCCAGCCACGACGTTTTCCTCGTCAACCTGACCGTCAGCGGCTCCCACGGTATCTCCCTGGGCAGCGAGATGTCCGGGGGCATCTACAACGTCCACGCGTACGGCGTCTCCATCTCCGGGGCCGTACAGGGCATCCACATCAAGACCTCCGCGGGCCGGGGGGCTTACATCAGAAACGCGAGCTTTGCGAGCTTTGAGATACTCGACACCGGGGTCGCGTTTTCTTTCACTGGGATCTATGGTGACCACCCGGACGCCGGGTATAACGCCAGCGCGTTCGCTACCATCGAGAATATCTCGTTCCGGGACGTGGTTGGGATGAGGGTTAACCGCGCGGGTGACTTTCGCGGGGTGCCACAGTCGCCATTTCGCCACACTTGCTTCACCGATGTGGCCTTGGAGCTGAATGGGAAGAGCAACCATTGGAACTGTAGCTACATAGAGGGATATTCGCGGCATGTTTCTCCTCCGCCATGTCCCGAGCTTCAGCTAGAATCAGAATGTTGGTCTTGATTTTCATTTTCTATTTTTCACTAATATAAATTAATTAATTATATGTTAAGAAGAATTATAAGTATATGCCTTTTGTTGGACTGGGATTTCCTACAAAGAAGCTCATGGATCATCGGCGTAGAGGAGCATCGCGTTACCAGGTGAGGATGGTGGAAACCAGGGATTAGCAACACGGCTTGCAGCCCTGCGAGCAGGGAGAGCAGTGATTTCGCGCTTTGGACATCAAGGCGCTCCTTCTCCCGGCCAGCGGCGAGATCAAGTCACTCGTCCCCAAGCTCCACAAGCTCAGCGTCTACGGTCAGCACGATTCCTCCAAGCTTCCTGGCGATGGTGGCGAGATCCAAGTGCTGGCTTCGCTCGTTGTCTCGCTCCCCTTGCTGCCACTCGGCCGGAGAGATCGTGGTTAAACGTTTGGGTCTGGAAGCGATCAAGCGATCGGCTGGGCTGCGAGAACGAAGTTGTAGAGGTGACGGCTGGCCACTGCTTGACACTAACATACAATCTCCATGGGAAATATCACACTGCTCCCGCCAAGCCAAGATCAGGCTCGATTTTTCACGCTCCTAGGTGGCGGCGGGGCAAAGCTTGACGCTGGGCTTCCCATGCAAGCATCTCTACGTGCAGGGGCACGTCTATTCCGCCGCGGTGGCCGCGGGGCTGGAGGTGGAAGTCCGCGCCGTGTGAACGAAGACGAAGAGGACGAAGAAAGAAGAAACAAAGGGAAAGGATGGCTCGGAGTTTGTGTTGTCCGATGCGTCAGATGGGGGGATTGTATGGTGTCACAGAGATTTCGATTGGAAGCTAACTGGTGCTTGCGCGAGCCCAGCACCGAAGGATTCTACGCCGCCGCGGCCATCTTTGTGACGATTGGAGCAAGCAAAGCCAAGGAAAAGAAAGGAAAAGCAAGGTCTTAAGAACGAAGATATCACTTTGCATTTAGTTCGTGGCTTATTTCTCTAGGCGTTTCCTATAAACGCATACTTTTAGAAAAAATAGAGAAAAAAAAAAATGCCAGCTTCTTGAGAAGAAAGCTCTCTCGATGCCTCCTGTGCCTATTCACATCCCATGATCAAAAGGCTTCGTCGCGCCCTGCCTGTCGCTAAAGAATTATTCACAAGCCGCTGGAAGCTTTTCTCCCTCCTCTGATCTTCCTTCTTGTTCCTCTTCTTCTTCTTCTTCTAGCCGATCACTAGCTGGTCGTTCGATCGCTCCGTGGTCTCCCGTCGCATGAATCAGCTCCCAGATCCTAGGAAGAATCGTACTGCCGGATAGCTTCGAAGCACGAACTCGCCTCTCCAAAGCAAAAGCCACCGTCCTGCTGCTGCTTCCTGTCCAGCTCCAAGCACGGCGATGGCACCACCCTCTCCGAGAATCCATACGTATTGGAGCAATTCCACGCTCCAGCTCCCACCGACAAGGAGACGTTGGCGAAGCAAAGGTCGCGGAATGGAGCTTCTTCCAGTCCGGCCATGCACCCGGCCCAGCCGATCTCGTGTCCAACCACGTCCCTGATGGAGATCCCTCGTATCACTGGAAGAGCTCGAGGATCGTAACCATCGTCGGGGTGTCCTCCATACAAGGCAGTGAAGTCGAAGGCCACGCTTACGTTCTCGAGCTGGAGGTCCGAGATGGAGATGTTGGTGATGTAGCCGCCCCGCCCGGCGCCTGTTTTGATCCGGATGCCACTCCTCGAGTTGGCCACCCTCACGCTCTTGATGAAAACGTCGCTGATCCCGCCAGACATCTCGCTGCCAAACGCGATCCCGGCGCTCGTCGGGCTTTGTCCCGAGACGTTGTGGATGCAAACGTTGGTGCTCGGCATGCCGTAGTTGATGCCGTGCTCGTCCCAGCCGCTTTTGATCGAGATGAGATCGTCCCCGGTGGAAATGTAGCAGTCCCGGATGCAAACGTTCGACGATGAATCTATATATCTCCGGAAGTTAGAGCTTTCGCTTTGCAAACGCGAGGAACCCAAAAAAAAAGATTTTTTTTTACCGGGATCTATTCCATCGATGTTTGGAGCGTATGGAGGAGCTAAGATGGTCACGTCCTGGATCAAGACGTCGCTGCAAAAGATCACGTCAAAGTTTTCTTCCCGAGAGAAGGACATGAAAGAGCAAACCTGCAGTAAACCGGATGGATAGTCCAAAACGGGGAGTTCTTGAACGTAACGTTTGAGATTGTGATGTGCCGGGAATCAATGAGCTCCACCAGATGGCCTCTCGTGAAATCCAGTGTCTTGTTGTGGAACCAGTCCCACCACACTGAGCCTTGTCCATCGATCGTGCCATTCGCGCCTGGAAAGAAGAACAGGAAGCTTGCGTTTAACGAGGAACTATGCATATCATATCATCGATCAAATGAGGAAGAAACTAAAACTATCGATCAAAGGAGGAAGAAACTATAAAACTATACCTGTGATAACCACGTCCACCATGTTCTTCCCATGGATCAAGCTAATGTGTCTTCCGCCAGGGAGTTCTCGGCCTCGTCCATACGACGGCAACGCAGGGATAACTGGCCATTCCAGTAAGTCCTGTGAGGGTGGAAAGACTTAGAACTTTGGCGACTAAGAAAAAATTAGTTTTTGGACTGCTCAACAAAGCCTGACGCGATGCAGCAAGCTGGACAGCAACCAGAAAGGACTGGTACTTTTTTACACTAGTTTTTCTAGCTCAAACTTGGGCAAAAGTTAAGCTGGAGTAGAAAATTCTTGAGACACCCAGGGATGAGCATTGGAACAATCCAAGGATTTAGAGAGAAAAAAAAGAGAATTTTTCCAGAAGGAAAAACTCTGCACCACGCACAGAAGAACAGTAGCAGTAAAGGCTTGGAGAAAGAGAAATGGGAGAACAAGAAGAGAGAAGAGTAGAAAGCTTTCTCTTCTCTTGCTTTCATGCAATGCAAATAGAGGAAGAAGAAGAGAAACACTACCTGAGATCCAAGAATGACCGCCCCTTCCTCGAGAAAGAGCGTGAGATGGCTGGTTAGATTGAAGCTCCCGGTGAGCCATCGGCCGCGAGGAACGTAGAGCT